GGGGAGGAATGACCCAGTGATTCCACTTCTAATATATTTCTGAAGAAACCCAAAATACTAACTCGAAAGAATATATGCACCCCTATGTTCACTGCAGCATTATTTCCAATAGCCAAGATATGTAAGCAACTCAAGCGTCCATGAGTAGATGAGTGGATAAACAGACTTGGTACATATACACAATGAAATATTACTCAGCCATAAAAAAATAAAAAAATCTTACCATTTGCAATAGCATGCATTTAAGTGAAATAAGTCAGAGAAAGACAAATACTATATGATTTCACTTACATGTGGACAATATAAACAAACAAAACAGAAACTCATAGATACAGAGAACAGACTAATGGTTGCCAGAGGGGAGTGGGGTTAGGGGACTGGGTAAAAAAGGTGAAGAAATTGAGAAGTACAGATTGGTAATTACGAAACAGCCCTGGGTATGTAAAGTATGGGATAGAAAATACAGTCAATAACAGTGTAATAACTATCTAGGATGCCAGGTGGGTACTGGAAATATCAGAGAAACACTTCGTAAAGTATATGACTGTCTAAACACTATGCTGTACACCTGAAACTAATATAACATTGAATGTAAACTGTAATTGGGGGGGAAAATTAAAGAGAATGTGTCCCTGTTGACACCCTGATTTTGGAATTTAGACTCCAAAATTATGAGAAAATAATTTTGCGTTAAGCTACCTAGTTTGTGGTACTGTGTTATGGGAAGCCCAAGAAACTCATCGAATTCCATTCATATGAAGTTCTAGGACAGGCATAACTATCTATAGTGGGGGGGGGGAAATAGTGGTTGATTTTTGGGGTGTGGGAGTAGGGATTAACAGGAAGGGGTACGAAGGAATTTTCAGGGGTGATGGTAATGTTCTGTATTATAGGGATTTATATTACAAGGGCTTATATATATGTGAACATTAAGTGAAGGTACAATTAAGATTTGTTCATTACATGTGAATCTTACATTGAGTTATAATCTAATAATGATCTCTAATAATATGTATACTTATATATTTACTGAGAAGTGAAATAAATAAAACAATTATGATTGATGAATAGATGAAAAGTTATGTGACACAGCAAGTAAAGTAAAATGTTAATTGCTATTGTTTATTATTACTTAATCCTCACCGGAGGATATTTTTTCCATTGCTTTTCAGAGAGAATGGAAGGGGTAGAGAGAGGGAGGGAGAGAGAGGGAGGAAGGGAGGGAGGGAAAGAGATAGAGAGAGAAACATCGATGTGAGAGACATTGATTGGTTGCCTCCTGCATGCACCCCGGCTAGGGATTGAGCCTGCAACTGAGGTCCCGGCCCTCGGCCAGAATCAAACCTGGGACCCTTCAGTCCGCAGGCAGACACTCTAACCACTGACTCAAACAGGCTGGGGCAATTGTTATTGTTTAATGGGACGGAGTTTCACTTTGGGAACATGACATATTCTGGAGATAGATGGTGGTGATGGCTGCACACCAATGTGAATGTACTTAAAGTCGCTGAACTATACTTAAAAATGGTCAAAATGGCCCTAGCCAGGTAGCTCAGTTGGTGGGAGTGTTGTCCTATACACCAAAAGGTTGCAGGTTGAATTCCTGGTAAGGGCACAGACCTAGCTTTCAGTTCGATCCCCAGTTGGGGTGCGTATGTGAGGCAACAGGTCAATGTTTCTTTCTCACTCTTTCCCTTCCTTCCTCTCTCTCTAAAATCAATAAAAACATATCCTTGAGTGAGGATAAAAAAAAGTTAAAATGATAAATTTGTTATGTATACTTTACTACAATTACAAAAACACACTAAGATACCACTTCCCACCTACTAAAAAGAAAATGGAAAATAACAAGTGGAGAAAGTGGAATCATTATACATTGCTGGTGAGAATGTAAAATGGTGCAGCCCTGTGGAAGTCTAGCAGTTCCTCAAAAAGCTACACATAGAATTACTATATGACCCAGCTAGTCAGAACTGAAAATATATTCATATACTTGTGCATGGAATGTTCGTATCAGCACTATTCAAATAGCCAAAAGATGGAAACAACCTAAATGTCCATCAGTGGATGGAGAGATGAAATATATCCATAAAATATTACTTAGCCCTAAAAAGGAATAAAGTACTGATACATGCTACAACATCCATAAACATCAAAAACATTATGCTACATGAAAGAAGCCAAACACAATAGATCACATACTGTATATGAACACACTTACATGAAATACATGGAATAAGCAACTTCATAGAGACAGAAAGATCAAAAAGGTGGGGAGAGTTGCCTGGCTGGGCATGGCTCAGCGGTTGAGCATTGACCTAGGATCCAGGCGATCGGGTTCGATTCCCGGTCAGGGCACATGCCGGGGTTGCGGGCTCAAGCCCCAGTCGGGGGCGTGCAGGAGGCAGCGGATCGGTGAATCTCTCATCATTGATGTTTCTCTCTCTCTCTCCCTCTCCTTTCCTCTCTCT